GCTTTTTACGCCGATCGCACAGACTTCTCACGTGTGTTTTATATATTAAATGAACACGTAAACTTCGATTCGAACGCTCTACCAGGAAGTTTAGTGTGTAAACCGCTCTCTCGTGTGGTTTACACTGTCTGATACTTACCTGGCCCAGGGATCTGCCCCTGTGCTGGGGGTATCACGGCTACGACTACCTTAGACCAGCAATGACTAGGTTAAACCAGCGGTCCGAGTGAAAACACTCGGGTCCCCATGTTAAAAACTGACCTTGTGTCACAACCTGACTCAGTGGATAGTCAAGTAAATCTCCTTGTCGGGCACAGTGATCTGTCCTTGCGCTGGTAGTATTACAGTTATGACTAACTTGGACCAGCTATTACCAGCTTGTACAAGTTATGACCAGCTAAAACCAGTGGCCCGGATGAAGACACTTGGGTTCCCACGTTAAAAACGGACCTTGTGTCACAATCTTACTCAGTGAGGGTGGGGGGAGTCAAGTAAATCTCCGCTCTACCAGGAAGTTAGCAAGTCATATCTAATAAACCAAAATTATATATATCCACTAAATAAAATTAACTTGTAGATGCTAAATATGCAGAGAGCACAGATACTACACTTTGATCCTAATCAAAAACCAGTTTTTTGTGGGTTGCCCATATGCGTATTTGTGGGCCAAAGACAAAAAATCCCCTGTCACTGGGCCCACTCACATGCTGGTATCATTACCCGCCAACACTTTCTCTTTAGTGTAATGAGAGAGGTGTTACCGCAGTGTTGGGAACCCCGTTATTTAATTGCCTCCCTATTGTGGGAAGATGTAACTCAAAAGCTTTTTAATGTGGTGTAGCCATGGGCCAATCCAAAGATTTCTCGGTTTTCGAGACCACTGTCATTTTTGACGGGTACTATATGCAGATTAAAGTATGAAGCAGTAATACCTCTAAACAATATGCAACAGCTGCATTGTGTTCTTTATATTCAGTACACCTTACCTGACATTTCATGAAAGAAAGTAAGTTTAAAGAGCACTAAAACGATGCAAAGTGAAATGCTAATTTTATCCTGACTAAAGAAATGAAACCTATTCTCTTTTAGAATCTATTTGAATACATTGTATAAAACCCCAGGCAAAATACTCAATGGTGTCAGTTGGTTTTATTCTCGATATCGGGATCTGTCACAATATATCAGGTGTAAAATACTTATGTGAATTTGATTGTTACAGTTTCAACATCTGAAGAGATACAGACAAAAGCAGATAAAAAAGGTATCGATTTTTCAATCGGTCATTTATATTCGACCGAAATGAAAAAAAAAAAAAATGAAATATATGACAGCGGTGAAACATCGAAGATCCTCAATTGATCGCGGAGCTACCAAAGAAGGCTGGTGCAAATGAATGGAATTCATCAAATAATCAGCTTACTGAAACACATAACAAAACTAATAATTGGAATTCTAGTGAACAGAGCCCTAACAGATCTAGATAGAAAATGTGGCTTTTTTTTAACACCGGAAATGCATTTTCATTATTAGAATGCTATCGAAGAAAACAAGAGACGTGAAGATAGATATACGGGCTTGTAAGCAAAGAGAAAGTTCTCAGGAAACAAGAAACCGAAAAGGACAATTTATATATAAAGTTCTGTGACTTCTGTTAGTCCGTCCGCTACACCCTCTAAAAGAGCCATACATTGACCGAAGAAAACCAAATTTTAGGAGAAGTGCAAACAGGTCAGTGGGTACAAAATACAGTTGGTTTTACTAGGGTGCGTAGCTTAGTACAATACATTTTTATTAATTTTTTTTGGAAAAAGTTTTATTTACCATACAACATACTCCCAGAATCTTAAAAAAAAACAATGATTAAAATAGGAAATCATTATTTAATAAAAATGCATATCTTTTTCATATCTTAAGTTTTTATATACAAGACTCCAGTTTCCAGCTCACCCTACGTTTGCAAGAACTAAAATAAATCAGAAAGTTAAACGCTTAAAAATTAGGAATTTTGCTCCAGAAAGAAATATTTACGCATGGCCAATTGTATGTTGCATGCTCAAGAGTAAGAAATCCTAAGAATTTATTCTTCGCTTCTAAAAAGGAAAAAGAACTTTTCTTAAAAAATACTGTTTACCATGTCGCTCTATAAAATTAAATTAAAGAAATTATTAGACCGCAAAGTAGGATTCTTGTCAAATTTTTTGACAAACAAATCATCTTATCCAAATTTCATCGATTGGTTTGCGAAATTGAACGAAACGTAGACTTTGTAAATCTCGACAAAAATGTTAGCGATAAATTCAACAATTCTAAATACCGCGAGGATTTCAACACGTATCACCGTATGGCGAAAAGCATTCTACAGCATGGTCCGAAAGTCTTGTCACACCTGCCTTTCTTCCAAAATACGTGTCAGCCAGCTGAAACAGAAAATTATATTATGTAGGGGGTGACAAGACTTTCGGACCACTCTAGTTATACATAAAACCGGAAAAAGACAGTCGAACTTTCTGGGGTGGGGGGACACAATGAAGAAAAAAGGCAAGCTTGTAAATTTTGACATTCACACGATTAATTGAAAGTAAGAGCGAGTAATCTACCTAGAGAGCTTGTGCAAACGGATGAGAGAACAAAGAGTGGGAGGGATAGTAAATAGGCAAATACAGGTAAAATTTACGAAGGATAGAAAGTTGTGGAGAGCCTTTATTGCATGCAGATAGAGAAACGAGTTAAACGGACACACAAAAATAGATATGAGCGTAAGGAGGATATATTTTCGGCGGATGATTCAAATGGAACGAGAAGACCTAAAAAAAAATTATTATCGGCGATGTCATCTTAACAAGATACGTCACACAGATTACGAGATTGTTGTCTAAAACAAAATGGACAACTGGGAGAAATACCAGCCTACGCAGTTAGTAAACACAAAAAGTAAGGATTATTCATTAACTTTAGGAAGACTGACAACAAAGGGATAGTCCAAATGTGATTTATGCATTGTCAATGTAATAAATAAAGCAGGGTAATATATTAGGTTGCTCAAAAAATGATATCCGCTTTTAGAATCAACTTTTATTCCTTAAATATTGTATTTAAACGGCGTTTAAATCAATCAAAATAGGAACCATTAACATCTGTACATTTCTGCCATCGAGTTGTAAGGTTATACAGTGTCCATAAAGTTCGTGTGCACTTTAAAAAATTTATAATACGAATAAAGTTATAAATTTTTTAAAGTGTACACGAACTTTATGGACACGCTGCATATACCTTTCTATAAAACTCTAAAGGTTTAGTCGCAAAGAAATCTTAGAATTAAGTTTCTGCATCTTCTTTGCAAGGGAATATCTTTTGACTTAAAAAAAAAAAAGACAAGATGCTTGGAAAAGTGGATAGAGATCAGAGGAATATATCGGACGTGGCAATGTCTCGTATTCCAAATCGGTGAGCTTCAGTGTTGTCCTAGTAATATGTGAACGAACATTTTTATGTAGTAGAACTTGACCACGTCGATTAAACAGCGCCGGTCGCATTTTGCTTAACTGAATGTGGATTTTAACTGGTTTTTGGCAGTAAACTTCGGCAATGATGCCCTGGTTAGATTCCAGAAAGCTGTAATGGATAACGACGATAACGGAGCACTAAGCAGTTACCATATTCTTCTGTTGATGCAAGTACGATGTTGGAAAGTCTTTAAGTGTTTCGTAATGAGCAAGCCATTGAGCCGATCATTTTCGAGTGTCATAAAGGGTCCATCTCTCATCACAAGTCACGATTCGATCAAGAAATGAAATATTCGAATTTCGCCGATGAAGAATCGAATGCACTTCAAAACGTTGAACTCTTTGACTTTCACCGAGTTCATGTGGAACCAATTTATCGAGTTTTGAACCATGCCAATTTTCTTGAGATTGTCCGATATTGCTGAAATGCTGACACTCATTATCTGAGACATTTCTCTGACACACTGGCGTGGATATTTTTCGACTATTGTTTGCAGATATTGATTGTTAGTTGCAGATGGACGCCCTCTACCACCTTGATCTCCAAGACTCGTATTCTCACTGCGGAGTATCTACCAACGACCCCAGGCGGTCAGATGTGGCACAAGGCCGAATTTAATGTGGGGTATCTGAGCCCGTAGGCTCGGCCAAAAATTCCCCGTAGACCCCGTATAAAACGGCGTCGTGTAGCTCCTTCCCGAGATGAGGCTCTTCCTTTCGACATAGCCTTTCCATGCTAGGGACAGGCGATTACAGGTGTCTTTGATATACAGGGTGCGATGGATAAATTGTCGTCTAAAATAAAAAAAAAAAAATTTAACAGACATATTTACCAAAATTACACAAAAATATCTTGAAATATTAAAGAGTAAATTTATTCAATAAAATCGCCCTTGGCTTTAATCACGGCCTCCGGACGACTTCGGAATCTCCTGCAACTTTTCTGGACGATCTCCTTGTTTAAGTTGGTGCATGCTGCCATAATCCTGACCTTCAATTCTTCTTTGGTTTTACAAGGAGGTTTTTTTTGGTCTCTCGCTGAACTGAGCCCCTCACACAATATTCAAGAGGGTTGCAGACTTGAGAGTTAGATGGCCAAAGGATGATGTAGTCGCAGATATGGTCTGGCAGCCATGAATAGGTTCTCCTGCTTGTGTGGCATAGTGCAGAGTCCTATTGCCAGACATAGGGGCTTCCAGCAGCCACCCTCTTGACTCTGGACAGCACAACCTCTTCAGTGCAATTGATGTAGGCCTCCGTGTTGAGTCTGAGGGAAGATGAATGGCGGCATAACGTCGCCATCACTAGTGATCACTCCAAACACCTTCGTTATTAACATTAGATTCATCCAACTCTTTCCGAATCCTCTGAACTCTTCTCGGATTGACACCCAAACACTCTGAAATGTTCGTATTGGAGCTTCCGGTGCGAATGCCAAGCAGTATAACATGCAGTTTCCCAATTTCTCGTGGCGTGAATACATATACAATGATATATTTATATATAGAGAGAGAGGAAGAGAGAGAGAGAGAGAGGAAGAGAGAGAGAGAGGAAGCGAGAGAGAGAGAGAGGAAGCGAGAGAGAGAGAGAGGAAGCGAAAGAGAGAGAGAGGAAGCGAAAGAGAGAGAGAAAGTGAGAGAGAGGAGGAAGAGAGAGAGAGGAAGATAAAGAGAGAGAGGAGGAAGAGAAAGAGAGAGAGAGAGGAAGAGAAAGAGAGAGAGAGAGGAAGCTTTCTACTCCCAAAATAAAAGAAACAAACGAACAACCAACCAACCATTTTTGGTCTGCCTTTCTCTCAGAGATTCGAAAAAGCGCGATCTATCATGCAAAGTTGACATTAAGTTGATTTCAGATAAATCCCGGGAAATCCTGTTAGTTGGCATTGATAACGGCTGCTAAAAATGGTGAGGAGAGGTTGGCTCGTAACGAGGGTGGGCGAGAGTAGATAAGCAGCGTTTTAGCTTATGGCCACGATAAACTTGTGTTTCCCATGTAACAGAGAATGGAACTGTTACATTTGGTTCGCCATTAGCTGCTCTAAGAGTCTGCGTATCGAGGCCATAATTCACGTGTGGATCTGTGGATGCGTTTCCGTAGTGTCAAGCTGCCACCAAACCATAAATATAAGGGAAACGCAGTCAATATTATTCACTACTCTGTAACATTTGTAACAAATGACCAATTTAGTCACACACACACACACACACACACACACACACAAAGGAATAAGAATAAGCAGTTCCCAAAAGAGTCTGCTTAAGATTGCACACAGGCAAAAAAGAATGCTCTATGCCATATCAACTGGCAGAGATTTATTATATATTAAATCAGATTTCAAGTGGGAAGTAACAGATCGTGACTATCAGTTTCTTACGCTATCACACAATAATCAGGCGACTGATAATAGCGCGAAAACGTATGAAACTGACAGACGTGATCGGTCACTCACACTTGAAATCTGATTTTAGATAATTATTTATTTAAAGATATGATTCCATCGCTACATAAGAGTTCTCATGTTTCAAAACAAGAGCCGAAAAACTTATTATTATTTGAATTAAAGTACCAAGCTCTGTTCCATCTTCAAGCGAGATTTTTTTTTGGAGTAACTAATTCCTGAAATTTACGCGTTTTATAAGCATATTCATTATTAAAATTAAAATTAATATGGTAACGGCTAGAGCTATTATTTAAAGAAAAGGGGCGTAAGGCTTGGTACTTTAATTCAATTTAATTCAAATAATTATATTGAAGTTTTTCGGCTCTTGTTTTGAAACATGAGAACTCTTATGTAGCGATGGAATTATATTTTTAAATAAATAATCATATTTATGTTCTACTTTTGTATCGAGCACTATTTTTAAAAAAATAACAAAAAATACTAAAGAACTTTTGGATTATTTACCTAACGAGTTATTTCCTATTTTCTATATATTTTTACACACACACTCACACACACACACACATATATATATATATATATATATATATATATATATGTATGACACTTCGACGTGGTGCAACCTTGTTTCCCTGGATCAGTTAAAACTTAATGAGTTAGATCCTCCCTGAGTTTTCATAGTTACGTGTGTGTCATATCTACGCTACTAAGCTTGCATGTATGAGTGGTGTTATGATTTAGATTATTGTCCTCATTTTGGATGTAGTTATCACAACGTCCTTCATTGTGCGTGTGTCTATATATATATATATATATATATATATAGCATAAACAAAAGTATGTATGTGTGTGTATATATATATATATATATATATATATATATATATATACACACACACACGCACACTTTTGTTTATCTCGGCAGTGTTCTTTCCATAGATGGGTCACTTGATGACGAAATAAATCATTGTGTACAAAAAGCAAGTAAAACCTTTGGAATGTTAGAATCTCAAGTATGGTCAGATAGATGTATATCAGTCAAAACTAAGTGTGTATGAAAAGGGAATTTTATCTGCTCTACTATACTCCACAGAGAGATGGACCACTTACCGGCGGCACATCCAAACTTTTGGAACGTTTTCAAAAAAAATGCTTTCAGAGGATTCTAGGTATTAAATGGTAATCTTTTGTGCTGAACACAGCAATTTTAGAAAAGGCAAATACGTTTAGTATTGAAAAGATGCGCTGGGCTGGTCATATCATAAGAATGGAGGATGATCACTTCCCAAAACAGTTTTTTTTTAATGGTGAATTGACAAGCTGCAAACCTCCAAATAAGCCAAACAAGCGCTTCAAAGATGACATTAAAAACAACCTTAAATAATCTTGGGATAAGTAAAAATAATTGGGAGGCGGAGGCAGGTGATAGGTCTAACTGATGGAACAGTTTTGAAGAGAAAAGGGGTTGAGCATGCAAAAGTGAAACGGAAGCAGAATTTGCTTGTCCAAAGCTGGTTTAAGCAATCACATGAGATACCATCGCCACAATAATATAGACGGAACGCCTTCCTCCCAGATCAACTGGCGCCCTGTGTCAGTTTTGCGACAAAACCTGCAAATCATCAGCTGGTCTGAAGAGGCACACTAATAGGCTTCATCAAGACAAAATAATTTCAAAACTCATTACACCATTCATTTGTTATTTCTGCAAGAAAGCTTGTAAGAGTTCAGCAGGGTTAAAGAGCCACTTGTATGCACATAAACGTGGCAATGCGTTGTAAGTTGCAGTCACTATTCTAAATGTGAACTGGTTGTATTTTTGTTAAAGCTTTCTTAACAGGGTGTTATTCCTTTTATCATTTTACTAGATTTCCTTCTTTTATATCCTTTTTAATATTCTTTTGACTGTAAATGTTTTACCACTTAAAAATTAAGTATAGTCTTTTATAAATTGTTTGCAAATGCGAGTGATTTTTTTTTACCATACTTCATCTTTTTTATCGTTTTAAGATCCTTTTATACTTACTGATCAAACAAATCTTCATTTTAAAAGTAAGAAGAGATGTCTTTTGTAAGGAAGTGGCAATCATTATATAATATATATATATGTATATATAGTGCGTGTGTGTGAACATAAACTAAATAACGAGATATTAGCAACTATATATACGTGTGATAACGTACATATAAAGATGAGCAAATAAATATTTATTTAATTTAAGGTGTAAACAAAAGAGTGCTCAATGTAGTTAAACAGAGCTATAAAGTACATACGTCGTTTGTTGTACAACTCAGAGTTTCATTACAAACGTATATATATATATATATATATATATATATATATATGTATGTATGTATATGTATGTATGTATTATATATATATATGTGTGTGTGTGTGTGTGTGTGTACGTGTTATGAGGAAAATGATATCAGAGAGAGTAATATAAAGGCAGAAAAATGTGCACGTCATATAGATTACGGAAAAGCATTTGGCACGGTACTCTACCTAGAGTAACTCTCGGGTCTTGTACAGGGTGAACATCATTGTAAAACAAAACAGGAAGTTGTAGAGCGCTAGGATCTTCCGCATAGTGAAAGGACAAGGCAAAGTTTCTAAGGAGCTGGAATTATATATATATATATTTTACATAAGACGGGCGAACTTTTTCGGACATTTAATATTTGAGCGTGTGTGTGCCTCTCTCTCTCCATATATATATATATATATATATATATATATGTGTGTGTGTGTCTGTGTGTGTGTATTAAGGCAGCAATTTCTCTTTTAGGCATGTCTGATTGAATAAATTACAGACATTACGCCTGCTAATTTTTAATAAAATCCGTTCATACCCACGAATAACCTTCCGTGTATTGATGTTAAAGGATAAGCGAAATGTCTTTCCTTTTCACATCTCGCACCTGGCTCTAAGTGGAAGATTTAACTCTCTACATCCGTTGTGCTCCACAAAACTATTGAATTAACCAATGCTCCACGGCAAGGTTTACGATATTTTTTCGCAACTTTTCTGTAACGAAACACGGTACGAGGTAGTTCACGTATTCTCAGTTTTACATTACTTGTAATTTATATATTCATGCAAATATGTTCATCCTTAAAAAAAAACAACATTTTAACCTCCTTGGTACGTCTGGATATCAATATATTGTTTTGAATTCTACGACATTGAAGAATTTTTAGATTTCCACATACATGCAGATATTCATGTGGCGGAGGTTAACGCTGTATTGAAAGACACAGTTACCCAATTGCGGGTGCATTCAGGTATTTTCAGATTGTAAGCGCATGAAATTCGTGGGAGAATTTGAGCGCTTCTGGTCATAAAGGGTTAAATTATTTAATGAGAAATGAATGTGATTGATTCGTTTTCTACGGCTTATCAACCCTTTGAAGGCTGTTTAAAGCCAGTAGTTATTTTAGATTGTAAGAATATTGTTTTAGAAAATAGTTTAGTGATAAAAGTCTTACTAATTAACCCATAGCTGGGGGGGAAGAAGAGGTGGATTCATACCTTTTCCAAGGCTATTTTCTTGTAAGTGAATATAACGAACCCAGCTGGTATTAGAACTCTGCTTTCCGATTAACAATTCCGAGCCTTAGACCATCCGTACATCCAAGCTTACAGCAACTGTTATTCCCAAGCGGTTACCGATCTAGGAACTGACCAGGCGCAACGTTGCTTAACTTCAGTGATCGTATGAAGCGGTGTTTCAACGCTATGAATACTTCTCTGCGAGACAAGATGAATATAGCACACAGGAATTATGTTAGTCTGTCGAGTTAAATAACGTTTCGCTGAAAACGTTAACCTTGAATGTCAGACAATGTGCCGAATTACTTTAATCAGGACCCAGGTGTTCAAAACTAGAAGATATTTCAATTAAATATATAATTGTTCTTTTATTGCATTATACAAATTAAACATCTACACAAAAAAGCCTGAAGAAATTCACAAACATGTACAGCTGGAGTATAACTATAATTATTGACATACAAAATCATTTTAATAATATATCAGCATCTAATTTCTTATAAATTATAAACTTCCAGTAAGATTCGATATCCCATCTAATATCTTTTGCAAGCATTTCCTTCTGAAATTTGTGAGGTATCTTATACGCCATCAAGTGCAATATGCTGAAAAGTGTATATATTTTATTTTTTTCTAATAATCCGGTGCACATACAACCGACCACACCTGTTAGTGTCTTTCGTGCTAATAGACGCAGGCGACTCAAGATTTTATGTTTTCAAATACACGTTATTTAATTTCTGTCTCAATTTCTGGGAAGAGGAGTTATCATTATTTACACTACATTCTGTGTATTATTCTCATCTTTGCTGTTATCACAAAGTTTCGGTCCTCCGGTGCATATCGATCTGGGTAACCTACAGGGACTTTCGAACTGTACTATTTACTTAATCCTGGGGGTAGGTTGCTGTAATTCCAATGGCATTTTATAATATATATATATTAAAAGTTAAAGTTGTGCTTCATAATCCATATGGATAATTCCAGGGAGGATATACTCCGGAGAGCTCAATGTAAAAACACAGCAAATATCATATTAATTATTATTAAGAAAAAGCTTATTGAGAGAGAGAGGGAGAGCGAAAGAGTACCAGTGAGAGAGAGAGAGAGAGAGAGTGCTGTGAGAGTGTCGTGCGAGAGAGTGCCGTGAGAGAGAGAGAGAAAGTGTCGTGCGAGAGAGAGAAAGAGTGTCGTGCGAAAGAGTGCCGTGAGAGAGAGAGAGAAAGTGTCGTGCGAGAGAGTGAGAGTGTCGGGGGAGAGAGAGAGAGAGTGTTGGGGGAGAGAGAGAGAGTGTGTCGGGAGAGAGAGAGAGTGTGTCGGGAGAGTGTCGTGAGAGTGAGTGAGAGTGTCGTGAGAGTGAGAGAGACAGAATACATAGATCCAGATAAATTTATTAGGCTTAGTTTAACTCTCGCACAGGTATGTAGCAACCAGTCAGAATGTTAATGGTCAATTAGATTAGCTCATTAATCCTTATCCCATATGGAGAAACATTAGAAGTAAACATGTTACTTGTTTTGATATGACTGATTAAATGTCATCAGAAAGAGATTAATACGGCGGAACAATAATCGCTAAGTACAGGCTCCTCAGTACGGTATATCGGTTAACGAGGCTAGTCTGGTTGACCATTAACACCGAGTACTGCGTTCGATTCTCACTGAATGCCCACTTTCAAAATTCGTCATTAAATAACCCGACAAGATTTGAGGACATGACACAAAATCAACCAACCCAAGCTATTATCTTCAAATACGGTAACGAACAAGAGAGAATTTTTATACATACCCAGCGTAAAAAGTTCCCAAAGTAGAATTCCAAATGATCAAATGTCAGCAAATGTGGTATATATGCTATTGCTAAGGATTTCTGGTGAATTCCGTTCCCAAAAGCAGAGGTTGTCTATAGCTGACCGTTTTCTGACAAAAGGAAAGGTCACAGCGAATATTGCACAACTTGAGAATGTTCTGACGAGTAACGAGAACATTGGAGGGGTTGAGATATTGATGCCTGATACATTTGCTCGCCAAGAAACACTAAAAAAATATAAGAGAAAAGGAAATATAAGATTTATTGGAGAGAAAAAAAATGTCAATGACGTGCGAATAGAAAGAAGTTACAGGTTCTTTGAAAAACACGAAAAATTAAATGAAAACCGAAAGAGAAAAACCGGCCAGTCTTATACAGAACAATGTCATTTTGGCCTTTCAGCAGCTGATGTTAATAGTGGCCGTATGCTTTACCTGTAGTAAGTTTTCTTCTCTAAAGGATCAGTTGCCATTCTCAGCTTAAAAAAAAAAAAAATGGCCGCCATCAATCCTTGCCTGAGATCAGGGTTAACTAATAGCGAAAGATAATGAGCCCAAACTACCAGGTAGCTGAAATTCAGAGGTGGGGGGGGGATTGAAGTCTGTTTTCTATCATTTAGACTGACAGCCTCTCAGGACAAGAAAACTAAGTCCGCTCTTCTATTTAATCGATGCATTGAAGAAGGAAGTTTCACGTCTTCTCTCGAAGAAGTGTCTCTCTTTTCTCGTGCTGAAAGTGAAGGAAACATACAAGAACAGGATTTGAACTTGGTACCTTGATGTGCATTACAGTGAAATTGAGATATCGGCTCGGAATGAAAAATCGGAGAGCAGATTTCGAATCCCAGTCGAGTTCGTTATATTCATTTACGCACAAATACCCTTGAGAAAGTTATGAATCCTTCTCTTTTCCCCCAGCTATGGTCTGGAGCCCCTTCTGTTTGCCTCGGGGCTCTTGATAGGCTCCACAGGCGGATATGCAATATAATTGGCCCTGATCTGGCATCTCGTCTAAAGTCACTCTCTCACAGACGCGCCGTTGCCTCTCTCTGTCTTTTTTTACAAATACTTTCATGGTAATTGTTCCGAGGAGCTGCATTCGCTGGTTCCCAGACTTCATGAGTTCAAGCGCCCTACGAGGCTGGCATCCCGCTCTCACCCTTTCACTGTCGAAACTACTAAATGTAGCCGTCTCTTCTACTCCAGTAGCTTCATGTCTCGCCACCTCTCGCCCGTGGAACTCCCTTCCTTATTCCAGTTTCACTGAGAGCTATAATCTCCAGCTATTCAAATGTAATGTCAATCGACATCTCCAGTTGCCTTGATCTATCCACTGTCCTTCTCATCCTTTCTTCTATCACTCCTATCTGATCTTGCTTCAAATTTTCTGTAACCCTTTGCGTCCTAGTGGCTTCCCGCCTTGCTTGGGGCGAAATAAAAAAAAAAAAGAAAAGAGAGAGAGAGAGAGAGAGAGAGAGAGAGAGAGAGAGAGAGAGAGAGAAAACAGACTGGGCCCTGTAATCTTGGTTGGCAACCAGTCTGCCACAGAAAGTAATAGCAACCGACTGCGAGAAAACCTGCTAGTCAGTTATAAATCGAAAGAGACATGATCACCCAAGCGCGTATCACATGGCACTTTACTGACTAACTGACTGACCTCGATTCCACTTTCCGTAGATAACTGTTATTCTGTACTTCTTGAAATGTACACTTCATGTGGAGTACAGGGTCACTGCCCCATTACGCTAGTTGGTGCGCCTGTAGTTTCAGTATTAAGTAAGTTTCAAAGGATGGAGTGCTTACTCCAGCGTCTAACCAGTTTCGAATTCAGAGTTGTCTTTTCTTAGAATCGTTACCCACCAAAGCTAAAGAGTGCAGTGTGCCCTGGTATTTAAATGATAGCTAAGAGGGGAGAGGACAGATTTTTGCTGAAGTGAACACAATAGCATGGGTCAGAATTTGAACTTTGACCCGCCAATCCCATTTTCGACACCGACAATCGCAATGCTACTCCTACATCTCAAAACAAAAAGGGTATTTTTTTTTATAGTAAAGTCCACTCAATAAAAGCCTAGAAAGTAAACGCAGAAGGTTATATTAAAATGGTTATGATGAATGAGGCGTGTGATATGAATGAAAGAAGAAGTGAAGATTATAAAGATAGGAATGGTAGATAATAATTGACCCTTGAAGAGATTAAGATTGTAGAGTTCGGCGAACCATCTACACGAGTTTTTTTTTGTTGTTGTTGCACAAAGTAGCAATTCTTGTGAGGAGGAGAAAAATATCTGAGTGGATCTTTCCTCTTACGGAAAAGATGAAAGTATCTATCTTTTAGTATCTAGAAAAATTTACGAAATTAATTGGTATATGAAATTTAAATAAGAGAGAAAGATCTAGAGAATTCTTAACATTCCATAGACTAATACTGCTGTGAAAACGAAACGAGGTTTTGTTTGTTGACAGAAAGTCAAGAAAACAGACTCCATCGGACGCTATTTCGCTTGTTTCTCTTGTGAAAAGACTGGAAATAGAAAGGAGATATTTTTTCAGTGTTAGATTGCTCATGCAATTTTGTTTTAATCATTTCACCCCAAACAAGACAATAAAGCCACTGAGATGCAAGGAGTTACTGAGTGAGAGAGAATATGAGAAAAATATACTATTATAGAGAAAAGACAATAAAGGAACAGGAATGAAGTATATAGATTGTGACGGTTACACACCTGGCCCAGGGTCGAATCCCTTGGTTACGGCGCCAACTGTGACGTCGCTCCTCCTGGTCGCTCCTCCTGGTCGCTCCTCCTGGTTCCAAGCGTGCCGCTCCAACCCCTTGGTTGGATGATCACCAGCCTCGCCTTTCCCAACTCGCTTCCAATACCTGGTTACTGAAGCAACTGTACTGATCTCCGGTCTGTCTACCCACGTTGTGTTTAGATCTTAGACAGACGGGACCAGCAGGGATTGGGGCCGATACAAGTTGAGTCCGACGGGGTGGCAAAACACAAGTAAAAGAAAAAAAAAAAACTCACGAGACAAAAATTACTGATAAAAAGGGTGACAACCTTTTATATCTAATGTCCGTTACATAACGAAAATTTGTTCTTATTTCCCGACCCACTCTGTGGACTATGGCACAAGCTTCTATCACACAACCTAAAAGATTTCGAATTGCCTACTCTTTAGAATTGTGTATGTCGGAGTGTGGTTTAGTTCGACACTGGGGCTAATTTCTATCGATCATTCGCAGTTGATTCTTCTCTTCGACTTGAGTTGTATTTCTTCTTCGTCGACTAAGATAGAACTTCGTTGACTTCGATAGAACAACTTCTCTTGTCTTCGACTTGGCTGCAACTTCTCTTGTCTTCGACTTGGCTGCAACTTCTCTTGTCTTCGACTTGGCTGCAACTTCTCTTGTCTTCGACTTGGCTGCAACTTCTCTGCGGCTTTCGAGTAATCTTCTTCTTCGTCTGCTTGGGCTGGAAGTTCTCTTGTCTTCGACTTGGGCTGGAAGGATTTCTTGCCGCAACTCAGCCGCAACTCTCTGTCGTCCGAGGTGATCTCTTCTCGCTGCCGTCCGGGGCTGAACCCTTCTGTCTTCGACTTGGGCTGGAAGGATTTCTTGTCTGAGGATTCTTTTGCCCGCAAAGGGGCGAGTGAATCGGGCCCGATGCCCGCGTTCAGGCTCTTTCCCTGCCCGCGGTCCAGCTGCAACTCCACTCCAACTGATTTCTGTCGACTGGGGTCCTGCTTTTATTGACGCCGCAACAAACTGGGGTGGGTCTGTCGGCGTCAGGGTTTTCTCGATAATTCCAAAAGTCGCATTATTTCTGTCTTCTCATTATCGCTATTGTTTTCACCCCTACTTCCTCACAGTGCCCTTGGTGGGGAGGCGCACCCCATCTTTCCCGGTCCCTCGTATGTCAGGTGACCGCTCTCGACCAATGATTCCTGATCGAGCACTTCTTTCTCTTCTTTCCGCAGATCACGTGACCGTTTCCGACCAATGGTTCTTGATCGAGCATCCTTTCTCTTCTTTCCGCATATCACGTGACCGCTTTCGGCTAATGAGATTGTGGTTGGGCGTGGTTTACATCGTTCTTGTTTTAAAAAAACAAAATCTAATTTTGCCCTTTTGCACGTACGAAAAATGACAATCTTGGCTTTTTTTTCACCTGGGCTCTGTCAAAACAGCCCGCCGCTAATTAGATGTGACTTCAGGGAAGAATACTGGCGCTATCTGTGAACTGAGACAATCGTTTTTTCACCTCTTGTTTTTGTCAGACCCGACAGTCAGAAAATCTTAATTATCTACATTGAAAATGTCCCCACTTTGTTATCATGGGTTTCCAATTCTTAATAGGTCAGAATCTGTATATAGTTCCACCGGTCACTCCCCTCAACCCAAAAGACACTTTTTCTCCGATTAAAAAAAATTTCGTTTCTATTGTTCTAAAATTTCCCTTTACTCCAAATTGATAATGAGTCTTTCTACGCAAAAGTCGGTCATGCGCTTCGACCGACATTCTTATCAAAATGACTTTCCCTTCTAAATAATATTTCTTTTC